GTTGAATGGCACATCTTAATAATATAGAGTAAGATACAATAGATCCACACAATGATATGAGCTGCATCATACCACTTCTTAGTCCTTACAGGGTTCATCAGGGATGCAAAGGACCTAAATTTTAAAGCCTATGAGACGACTAGGGAAAATCCAAAGTGATCGAACGAAATATCGAAATCTAGGTTTGGAGATTCACTAGCCCCATAATTCAATAACTTCGAAATTTCCATATATCTGATTATTTTTAATGAGGAGAACGTGGAGTACAATGTTTCTTCTGAACCGCTCCAAAATTCAAATGGACATATCGCAACACTTGCACTTACTCTGTACACATAGGAAGGCTGTCTTTAACTGATTATATCTGCTGATAAAACGTCAAACAAAGTACACCTACATAGCCAGGCGCCTGCACGTGGTCGCATTGCCTGTATTCAAATTGATCACAGACATTCTGACAACCTTTTATTCACTCAACTTTGTTCTTTTGGAATTACACGTCGGCCTCACGTTTCGAGGAAACCTATGATAAACCCGGATTATCGAAACGTCCGACCGGGGGACCTTGGTTTCATGGCGGCATTACCTCTGCGTCATCCGATCATGAAATGATAGACTCCAGAAAATTCCTTAGATAATTTGGCTAAAGTCAACAGCTTTTGGCATGTTGGGATGTCCCCCATATGTATGCGTGGTTAGTGTATGTGATGGGTCGTGTATTTTACGGAGGCTGCGATTATTTCGTATTAGTGCAGAACTTAAACTGACTTAATAGCGCTACCACATTTAAATATACTGCCGAAGGCATCAACAAGAGACCACACCCGGTCACATTACGATTGTTGTTGCGATTCCAGATTACTGATCGACTTAAAACCGATGGCAAACAGAGGTGCTTGAATACAGACTATGATACTCGCGGGATGCTAATAGATATGGATCTTGACTCTTTAAATAGCCATAACAGATTCATGAGCATTTATATGTAGATAAAATCTTTAATTGACGTATTTACTTAAACACTTAATTCTCTTTAGTTCCTAATTAATTCAGGAATGTTGCAATTTGTTCTACATTTTGATATATATTTGGTATTTAAGTTCAGGAGAAGAAAAGAGAAAAACGATTTATTGCAAAGAGTACAATACTGTTATTTAGGTCGTTTTTGTTTTGTCTCGGCTCAACGAGAGCCATGAAAGGCATAACAAACAGCGAAGACACTTACCTGAAGTGTCGTTATGAACCTTAAATTGATCATGTCCTCATGTTAAACAAAAGCAGTTTCCTGCTGGACAAGGGGAGCGACAAGTCTTAAATTTTCAATTAAACGTCTCATAATTGGTTTCAAATAAACTATGAAATATTATTTATCGTCTAATGTACCACGTCAGTAACAATTCCCAGAAGGACGAAACACCCGTATTATACAGTTTAATTCATTATTTGTCTATTTGTGTATGAATTGCCTTCTCATAAGGATTGCTACCGTCAAAATTACGCCAAGTCAAAAAACAAGAACCGTTCCCACTGGACAGTGCTGTCGTTGATTGGTAATCAGATTACCAGTAATTCGATCGTGTAATAACTTCCACTACCGGATTGTTAATTCTGTTAAAGATAAATTTATTCTTTGGTAGCTCAATTAAACTACTGTGTAAAGGAAAAAAAATTGTGGCCTCAAGATGATATAACTGAAAATAGAACTCAAACCCTTTGTCTAATATATTAGGCGCATTTCAATAGACTGGATCAGCAGTACGCAAACAACGTAACAACAAAGGGCACATTTTAAGGTGTGTATTGTTGATTTTAACGTTTCTGCTCGAATGGCTTTTAATGAGCAAAACTTCATACTTTGCTCAGGATGACACAAATAAAACAACAACCATCAGTAAAGGGTGGAAACATTGCCAAAGATTCAAAGTGTACTGCGATAGGTACTGCTGAATAATATCAGATGGTAATATCAAGGTAGACTATTCTAAAGATTGAACAAAAGACACATATGTGAGAAGGACCTTTTAGAATTATACAAACATTGCAAAACAATTAATTAAACTGCATCATACATCGGTTTCGTCCTTCTGAGACTCCTCAGTGATACTAAAAGCCTTAGGTTGACTTATATAATGCACGTCTTTAAATAATCTGAAACCGTTATCGTGAAAAAGTCTAGACCCGTTACTGTTAATGAAAGCATCGTTCTCATTCCTTCGGTCGTACATGATGAAATATGGTGCCACAAGTTTGTGTCAGTTACAGTATAGTCGCCGACTACGGTCTACATATACCTGCATAATTTGTTAAATATTTTATATATGATTATATTATATTGTTAATGTTGTGCACAGTTTAAGAATTCCAATTTTGAGATCTTGTTGGATAAATATGAGTGTATGTAACACCTAAAGAAGTATCTAACCCTTTCTAGACACGCCCTACATTGTGACTATTCAAACATCTTTTGCGTAATACCTCTCTTTTGGCCTTGTGATAAGGTTTGGCGAGGAGTTTTCGAGCTCTGTTCTGACAATTAAACCATCGTTTTAAAAAATCCACATGAGACCGTCTGTTTCAAGTGAAACGTTAATGAGTTAAACAGTAAGGACCGGTTAGCCCTTTATCAATATAAAGTGACACGACGTAATGTCACTCTCCTGTTTCGAGGTCATGACATTTAAGAATGATGGTGCTTTGATGTGACCTTTTCATGGCCACATCATCAATAGAAATCTTTAGGAACATGACCCACAAAGACACAAGCCTATTTCGCTACTTTTTATGTTCGTTTTATTTCGGAAGTTTTGTCTTCGATGTTCTATCGAAAATAAAAATATGGATGCAACATACTTGAAATAATAGTGAACATCCCTAGCAGAACAGCGAGGGACATCTTATATATAGCATACACATAGATACACTGTACAGATATAGATATATTCAAACGAGCATATCTTATCTTATAAATGCCAAAGATCAGTACTAATCATTTTTCCAACTGGAGGGTGGATTAATTGTTTTACATTGGTTGACGTCCTATCAACAGCTTTCGTCATTTAAGAATAGTCTCCCTGTGTTCGGATGTAGATGAGGTGAGTGAATATACTGAATGAACATGCTTGTCTCCTTGAGATAGTAGAGAACTGAAGCCAGTTTTATAGTGCTATCTCACTGACTCAAACTGTTGAAGGCCTTCAGCATTAGCGAACATTAAGTAGAGATACGTTTACGGGAATCAAGGAAACTAAATAAAGCACGTTGGGTTTATTTTGCATTTCACTTTATCTAATGACATGATGAAAGTTTTAAGTGGAAGACGAATTCTGCATATGGAAAGACATATACAATCGCTTTAAGCTCTGGTGATATGTGATGACTAATAACGGGAAAACCAAAAGATGACGATAAAGTACAATTGATTAGTTTGTTTGTATCATCTTCTCATTTTAGAGAAGACGATCTTCAACTCGATCCTGCGTTAATACTGATTGTTGTTTCTATTGAATTAGCCAAAAAACATACTAAAGTCATATTACATTTCTGTTTTGGTACGGTTTGCTGCCAATTCTAAGTGCAATACATTCCAACATACAACTTGCGGGGAAGGTTGTGTGACATTGAAACCAAATACTCATACATTGAAAATCCGTCTTATTTCAAATGCTTTGTTCATATCTTGTAATGCGTTTTTAAGCGAATATTGTTTACAATGTAAACTTTATAAGTTAAGATGTTTCTCACAACGGAATAAGTAACACACTCTAAACAATCGAACGACAAGTCAAAAATAAAAACAAACAAATCTGTTACATTAAGACAATCTATTATCGCTTAGATAGTAATACATCCGAATAATTCTAGCACATTTTAATAAAAAAACTTAATCTCATTACAAACAATTACTCCAAAAACAAAACCGGAAGTGATAAAAAGCGACGAATTATCACAAGTTCATAAATAATTCGAAAACATTTTTCCCACTATATATCAATTTCATCCTGTTATCGTGATGATGTGTTACAGAAGTGTAGACTAGTTGTCTGTTCCAAGTTACAAATTTTAGAGACAATTACAAAATTTATTACATGGCGTTAACTGCACCAATAACAGCCACCTAGATATCCAATTACAAAGGTTGAAACTGACACTATTGGGAGAGACTGGCCATGTCAGTGTAGAGCACAGCAGCATAACAGTATAAAAGTCAGTATTCTGATATCAACTATGGTATATATCCGAAATACACCTCTTAGTTATGATACCTGAGATTAATAATGAATATCGAAATTTCAAGTCTAATTGTTTTGTCTTTCTGAAATTTCGTTATGCTCTCGATTTTTGAACCGAAGATAGATTGTGATAAATTTATAGCACAGGTGTTTTTAAAGACGAAATACAACTGAAAGAAATTCAGTACATATAGAATTGACAGTCGCGAATGACGTGTACACCAGGTATGTATGTACATCTCAGTATTAAAACGTCCGGTGTTACTTGATAAATGGTCAGATTATTTGTTAAATATTGTGTAATATAAGGCTAGCTCTACACTCGGCAAGAAGGCGAATCTCTTGACCTCAAGTTACTAAATATGACGTCACGTTGATATCCATTAATCTCCCTAATTGAGCTTGCTCTGTCTTCCATCCTATTCCTTATATCAACATTTGTGCTCATCTGGTCTTCCTTTAATAGTTATTTTTCATTAGATCACTGCCGATAACTCATTCGTTTAGTCACTTGTATTCAAATTCTTTGCGTCTTCAACTTCATGTATTGATTCATTGTGAGCAACGTACACTAGGAATGGAAGATATTGGCTACGATAGCTTTGAGTGAAGCCCAATAATGCACTTTCTCTTTTTAGAAGATATCACTTTCTTGGATTGACAAGAACTACATTAGGATTTTGGTGATGATTTTCATGGGAACATCGATGATGAAACCTAATACCATCCAGAGCACGTGGTTGTATTCTTGAATGTTTTCAGATGCCAATGTGTAAATCTCTCTTGTCCTCAGTTCATTGATTTAATGTTAGTATTCAGCTATTGTCGATGTTTTCTTATTGTTTTCAACGGTGTACAGATCGTGTTTATTTGTATCAAGGCATTTTTTTTTACAAAACTTTAAACCATTTTCACGCCTAGTATTCCTAGACAAAAATATAAATAATAAAAGCGATTTGGTGCAATCTTTATTGATTAATCGGCATATTCTTATGGTGCAGATACATTAAGCAATCGATATCTTCTTCCTAAATTACTGAACATTTATATTTTCGAATTGGAAATCGGAATTTTGTTTCCACAAAAGTCACTTCATTACAAATAACGACAGTAAATTACAATTCCACAATAACGGTTACTGCACTAAGAACCTTGTTATGTTTTTTACTTTGCTTATAACACCAGTAATGTGCATCATTGTTCGGGAGATTTCAAAATAGCCATTATACTAATCAATTATACATTAACTGAAAGTATGTTCATTGTACAAAGTATGCCATACATATGATATTACTGCTTAATATATACATCCCATATATACATGGAAATGTCGTCATGTACAAATACTTATCTATATATATATATACTCATGAATAACATGAAGAATCCATCTTATATACAATGTATGCAGGACCTAATATATACCTGATGTGGAATGGCATCAATATGTCCGTAAGTAATATTTTTTCTGTAATATGTACAAATAACTTCTTCGGGTACATTTCATAGGTAAAATACGTCCCATTGCCGTCATAGCGTCCTTTTTCCAACACAGTTTTACACAATGGTAGGCCTCCAACGACCGTTCTAATAGGTTGGTAAGGCATGTTAGTATCATACTCAATTTAAAAAAAATAATTGCAAATCATGGAATCGTTTTCCAGATCATGCACCATATTTTCAATAAAAAACTTTATTCGAATTCTATATTTCAGTTCAAGGAAGCGGTTGCTATGACCAATCAAAACGTTGTCCAATCTGTTTGAAGAAAAGCTCATTTAATGGTCGGAAATGTCGCTTAAGTCTGGCTTTTACTTCCTCATCAACGACTATGTGTTGTCTCCCTTTGTTTTCTCGCAGACATTCCACCACTGAACTAGTGCGAAAACAAAAGAAGCCTTTAGTTGCGTTAAATACAAACTGTTCCCGTCTGACCTGGTGGGACAAACCTAAAAATTCTTCAACCTTGTATATTTCTTCATACGGGTTCCGCTTCAGGTTTTCACCGTCTACAATGTGTATCTGATTCAATGGAAAGTATTTAAGCCACCGTTTTAGATTTGTATGGTAAAGAGAAGGTCTTATACAGATATATTCGCGGTTTATCTCCCCTGTACGGAAGTTAAACACAGACTCCTCAAACTTTCGGCGGCTCCTGTTGTTAATGACACGTTGCGTGTAATCTGAAATGGCTCTCTCGACAGGTTCGCGAACAACAACGATTAGTTTTATGGTACTGTTGAAAGCAAATGTTCGCCCAGGGGCTTGTTCATGGTGAAAATTATTACTCGATTTTTCAATAGTTATCTGCCCTTCTGAAGAGTATGGCATCAAACTTTTATACCAGTCAAATCCATTTTCATACCGGAAGCTGAAAAAATTCGGCTCCTTGCTGGCAGTTATAACATCCGGATGTAGATCTAAAAAATGTCGTAATGCACCAGTACCCGCCTTTTTCACTCCGATGATGATACTTTGAGGTAGTCTACGTTTCCGGTTATCATTAGCCAGGTTATATTCAGAAGACGGAAACTTACATGTTCTTTCCGACCACCGCCGAGCAATGCAGGCCTTCGTTATAAAAAGAACCGACAATGTACATATAACACATATCCCAATCAGTTTTAACCTCGTGACCTTTCTGTGGCAACAGGTAACTTGTGACTTCATGTCGTCTGCTATCAAAGGCACGTGCGCTTCGTCCTCCATCGATCACTGACGGGGGTGAATCTGAAAGTACAAACAAACGGTTGATTGCGTGTTTAGATTTTATAATGGTTGTAATTAACTCCTAATGGTGATTAAAGTCATCATAACACAAAAAATGGTTTCTTGGCGATAGTTGTTTAGTTTTAAAACGTAAATATCTCTTGTGATTTAAAATTATCATCTGTTAAAACGCGACAGTTTCCAACTGTGCCTGCAGCACGTTCATTTTCCATTTTTCAAGTTTCAGTTTTCGTTGGTATTTTATCATTATTATGGTAATTTAGAATATAAAGATTTTGAGCGATATTTCCTGGCAGAAGAGACAGTGTGTTGCATGTAAGCCTCAAACGGCTGTGAAGATAATGTCAGATCGATATTCAATTAATCACATTAATTGTATTTTTTAAACTAATGAAGAAGAATGACGTGTAGATTAGTACATGTTGAAAAAATCATAAAAATGTTTATGAAACAATGTGAGAAATCCGCCGTGATATTTGTTGTCCAATTCTGTGTAAAAAGAACCTTGAGGCATTCCCGCATTCCTTGTATGGGAGATTCATAAAAGTGGAATGAAACACCTGGCTTCGTTTGATTTGTTTGAAATCCTGTTCCGATGATAGTAATCATTAACAACAGAAATTTAAACCATTTATTGCACTTAAAATATTAATTAAACTCGTTTACTATGAAACTTACTGATCAGTCTTAAAATATTGTGTCTATTCTAATGAAAGACAGGACTAGCTATTCACTAGACATGATGTTATTCTAAGACAAATCAAGGGGACATCAACAGACGGTGTTATAATGATAAGACATTGTGGGGACATCCACAGATGATGTTATAATGATATGACATTGTGGGGACATCCACAGACGGTGTTATAATCATGAGACATTGTGGGAATATCCACAGACGGTGTTATAATCATGAGACATTGTGGGGACATCCACAGATGATGTTAAAATCATGAGACATTGTGGGAATATCCACAGACGGTGTTATAATCATGAGACATTGTGGGGACATCCACAGACGGTGTTATAATCATGAGACATTGTGGGGACATCCACAGATGATGTTATAATGATATGACATTGTGGGGACATCCACAGACGGTGTTGTAATCATCAGATATTGTGAGGACATCCACATTTAGTGTCATAATGAAACACTGTTGGAGACATACAGAGACGACGTTATACTGTTTGGAGGATTTATGGATATCTAATGACGAGATATTGCGGAGGACATACATAGACAATGTCATACTGACCATAGAGTAAGTGATACTGACCATAACTTAAGTGATACTGACCATAACTTAAGTGATATTGAAGAAAAAGTAAGTAACACTGACCAAAGATTAATTGATTTTGGCGATAGATTGAGTGAGACGGACAGTAGATTTGGTGATGCTGATGACAGATTAAGTGGCCCTAGTGATAGATAAAGTGATATAGACGATAGGTTAAGTGATACGGACAATAGATTGTTGAAACATGATGCTGCAAACAATTGGGAACATGCCACGACAACGGCGAAATTAAACCAAGGTGAAAGTTTCCTTGCATACTAACCCATATCCTTGTGCAGCGCCGTTGTATTCTCTATGTACTCCTAATATCTGAAGTCTACTCCTAAACGCCCAGACGCATCGATTTTATAATTCTATATAAGTATTCCCCAGGAGAGGTAACATAAGTTATGACTACGTATTAATCGTATATAATTTCCAAAGTATATATAACGGTAACTTTCGACAAGAGTATAAACACCGATAGGTTCGCAAAGTCTTTGAAGAACAAAACAACTACCGTCACCCAATTCATATCTCTTGACTAACTTATTTCGATTTATGACGTTTTGAAGCCTGCGTTGACAAGTACAGATATACGGGTGACTGTTACACATCATACATAGATCACATTGCTTTCTATCTAGTGTCATCAACATCTAATATATTTATTGAATTCAAGTAAAATTAATTCTAAATTTTGATCCAGCGCGGTTGATATGAGAATAAATCAGTATCTTATATCTAAATGTAGGTTTGTCATATGAATATATTTTGTCCATCTGGTGATATCGATATGCAATCTAGGGACGGTCATGCAAAATACAGGCCTATTCCGTAATTTCGAGTCACGGCCTTCTCTACTTTGGTAATAAGTTTTACATGTAAATTTGCTAAGGGCATAAACTCCGATTGGCTAAAAACTGTCTCTCTGAAGATTTCCAATTAGAACAACATGCGTGTAAAAAGTTGTGAACTCGAAGTCCAATAAACCGAAGAAATGAACATAACCAAAGGTGAGCTAAATGAAAAAGACCCACTTTTCAACATACATGATAAGTTACAGGTGTTCCGGGAAAGTCGATGACACTTGCACGTAAATCAATGTCACACACCAAGTCACATCCTTCACATAAGAACCTGGTTAGGTGTCACTGAAATTACAAAGCAAAACTAAACAGCACAATATTACCCATCGATATCCCCTTGCAGGATCTGAACAGCCATAACTAGGTTACTGGGTCATATAGTTCTCGAATAATGGCCATCAACAGTCGATACTGGCAATTTTAGGCACGTCCATGAACACGGAATCAACTGCAACACGTTAATACTGCAAGTGGGGATAGATGAAATGTAACATTCTGGAAAAGACATGCAATTGTGTTTGAACCTTTATGCGCCTGTCGATACAAACGTCTTGTTCCAGACAAACCCTATTTAGACGGATTGCGTATTTATCTATTTCCGTGAGACTTAGTAGCAAACTTGTTTGCATTGGTCATCGATATATCTTATATGTTACGAGTTAACTGTCTGTACTTTAACATTTTATGGTCACACTGAAAGAGTTAAGTATGCCTGCGTGTGAGCACATGTGAGTTCAACCTCAAATCGATGAGAGGGGGAAATGCTATGAAAATGTTATTTCAAGGATACCCCTGGAATGGTGTTTCCAGAATTGCCTGTGTACGCGGTTCTTAAAGTCGGTTAATTTACATTGTCGTTACTTTATTGTAACATTCCTTATGTAAAATGGTGTTGGATCGTTTTGATAGGAATACCGCTGTTGAAAATAGCATGTTCTGCTGTTTATTCAAAGTGACAAAAACGTTTATTTACTTGTTTATTTTTTTTTTACTTATTTGTTCATTACAAAGGTTTCGTTTTTGAGAAAAAAAATTAATTTCGTCTATTTTTCATCCCTAATTTACATTTTCTGAATGCATCAAGTTCATTAATAACCTTGGAATTTATTAACAAAATCCTAATTAGTAACATATTACAGTTAATCGACTTTGCTCTTAATATTTAAGTTGGTTGTCTACGTATCTTATCTTTAACCTGAATTTAGTAGCAATGAGGAAGCACTCTCTTGATAATTCCGAAAAATAATTATTACCTGAGCTAGGCTAGTCTGGTAATATAGTAGACAGTCTAGTAATATGAAACATCTGAGGTAGGAAAACTCAGTTGAGAGACGCGCGACGTAAGGGACTTAACTCTCAATTCTGGCACAAAATGTCACTAATCTATCTACTGATATGACATTAACGAAAACGGGGTGTGCAACTTCATTGCACACAATTGAATACATTTCGTTGAAACAGTTACTCATCCAAAGCTATAAAACATAATGTACATCGTAAAACTAAATTTTGAACACCCAATACTATCATTAATTCTTGTTCCGATATGTCTCTCTCTCTCTATATATATATTTCTTAACCCGTTAATTTATCCAATAGCGTGAGTTATATTTACAATAAATTTCATGAACGCGCTGATGTGTTTTACTTTTTCGATATATCCAAATTCTCAAAGGTCATATTCTGTATTAAAATAAACTGCACAACACACTTTAATTCATTTAAATATCACGGTTCAAAGTTCACAAATGAACCTCCTCATTCATATTTGACATATCTTGGATTGACCAAGGTTTACATGGCGGTGCTGTTGACGAAGCAGTAGACGCTTACTCTTCTAGATCATCGGGTCTAATTCCCCTTGTACTTTTAATGAGTCTGTTGACAACTCTTAGTTAAAAAAAAAAATAAAAATAAAAACCTGCCATGTTTTGCTTCATTTAACACTGGAAGTTGTTACGCATTTTAACACGAGGTCAATAATACACTATCAATTAACAGTCAAAGACTATTGGTACAATTAGCTTAAAAGACCCAAGAAGCATTTTATTTTCTTACAGTCATAGTTTGACAATATTTTCATTTTTGCTTTTCAAATAGTTCGACTATCAGAATACAATTTATCATAAAGAGACCATCGTTTTATCAAACTGGTCCAGAATAAACTTTTTTTCATTAATTCAATTCAAACTCACAAAAATAGGGTAGAATATGAACAAAGACTTAAGGAAACTCCAGGAAGAGTACAAGGAGCATAAGACAAAGTGTTTCGGAGTAGAAAGCGTTTTCATCTTCATTGACGATATCCACTATATTAATCTTGAACAATTCAAGTGAGCAAGGCCACTTTCTTTAATATGAACAAGGTAAACAACAAACATCTTTTTTAATGAACGTCACATACTGTTGATGAAGTCCATTGTCTTCCTTACTTGGGCGGATGATCAAAATAGGCCGACAAGAAAGGTGATGTCAACAAAGACAAAGATACACACATTTGTCGCCTCTTGTGATCATGCTTGTGGTAGCAGTAGGTACAAAGATTATGCCTTAGCTGTAGGGCATTATGTTAATTGCATTGTAACTCACAAAGCCGTGCAAAGATAAGAAAAATGATCCCTTCTTTGTAATGACTTATGACAGATATGTTCACATACGACCTGCAGCCTGGATGTCGACCCTCGATACAGCCGAGCAAACAGATTTATTCTACAATAAACATTCCGTCGTGTAAACATACACTCATGTTTTATTTATGTTTGCTAAACACGTGTGCATGAATTTTAAAAAAAGTCAATGGCAGGATATGGCCAGTTTCTCTTTTTAAAAAAATCCAGAATCTCCGTTCGGCCATCTGCAGCAATACCAAACGCTACAATAACATGAAATATCACAACGCTAAGCGGTTGGTTAAATTGTCATGAAAAGACTAGAAAGTGCAATGTTGTCGTGTTCTACTATCGTCTTTGTGATGTATGTGATTTTAATGCACAGCCTTGTAAAACTCAAAGACATTTTCAAATTACAATCACACAAGTTGTTTGTAGGGACTCGAAAGCAGTGTACGACAATGCAATATGTAGTTATTTTAAAACTTTCGGCTTATTGAAACGAATGATTTGTCAACGTGATAGTGACATATACAGGCGCATTTCAAAATGTGAATGCCATCATATTCTTTCTTACTGGTAATATATTAGCATTATAAAAAACGCCACAGAGCGGGTCAAAATAGAATGTGTTTGTGCTGTAAGAAAAGATGCCGGTCTGATGCTAGAAAACTAAATGTCGACCACAAATTAAAGTCTTAACATGGCAAAATTCACATTTCAAGGGAGGACTGTATCGATATAACTGTCTTTTCCCCTTACACCATTACACGTTAAGGCTTGTAATGAGAGAAGAGTTAGAAAACGTAATAAGTACATTCGCCATTTATAACTGACGTGTATTCTATATATCACACAAGCCCAGCCAGAAATTAACGCCTACTGATTAATGAAACATCGGTATTCGCACAAGTCTGGAAATGTAAGAGAGATGGCACAAGTTACTACAGTCTTGGGAATCCGAGAGAGCCAAGTCTTACAAGATTAAGTCTTTTGTCCTCAAATTATGCATGTGAATTTTCATTCATCACACACATGATCATGTTAACCCTATCATTTCCATATCCATAGATAGGTAGCTGCAAACAGATAATGATCCTTCGATGATGTAAAAGGTATCGAACAACATCAACACACAAGTTTTTCACTTCTAGAGTGAACAGCAATGTCACCTCTTTGACTAAAATGAAATTAATGTATGGCCAAAACTCTTAGAGAAACATTTTAGCTATTGTGGCTTATTTTGAACAGTCATTTCTTTATATCATATTGCGCTGCTGCAAGCAGGGATGGTGCAAAATTGACATTTTCATATGACATCGAGTAAGTTATAGGAGTTTTATTCATAAAGGTATTTCTCTGAAGATACAACAATATAAGAATCGTTGATAACAGAGACATATTTCTGTCCAAATGAGTCATGAATATTCCATCCAATTAAACCCTTATGAAAACATAAACAATGACAATTGTGCATAATATGCCCTATTTATGTAGTCATTTAAGTTGCTTGTACGTCAATTTAGCCTAACCAGGAAATACGTTTTCGTGCAAGTTACTTTGTCCTCATTTGGAAACGCAAATGACGGGAGAGTTCGTTTAAGCAGAAATCGCTTTCTCTTCTGGAACATCTGGTAGTCGTAATATCCTTGTTTCTGGGGTTTGGTTATATATTGATAAAGTCCTTTTAAGAATCACCTCTTGATGTACGCGAGGTGACTTATTAACTGATAATAGATGTAGGAACATTTTTCATGAATTAAGAAACACTGAGTTAACCACATAATTCATGGGTTTATGAATCAAATAATTAACACCAGTAATCCTTTCCTCCCAAGACTTTAAGTAAGGTACTATTAGAGAATATTTACCGACCTGTGATGGTGATATGATCCCGTGATAGTTGAAGGTCAGTGTGACCTTCTGATCTTCATTGGGTAACAGTTTTTGCATCGAGAAGTCCATCTCTGTCAGTTTCATTCAAGATTTAATAAACACGCTTTGTGTATTGATACTGAAATCACCGACCATTGTTTATTTAATACCTTTCTATACCTACTATTGCATTCACTAATATCTTCCTAGGTGACATTTTTATAGCTCTGAGATATCTGCTGCACTCCATAATATGGATTTAAGGAACACGATTATGTCATAGAGCTATGAGCCACGAGTCTGACTTGCTAGTTTTATTTTCCATCTCTGATTATCTTCTATCCCTGGAGGTTAGCTTACTTGTCTAATGGAACCGACTGTGTGTCTATAATTATCATGTCACTCACGTGTAGAGCATGTTATATGCCCTTGTGATATTTCTGACATGAGTAGTATCTGTTCCATGTCTGATATGCTTGTAATGGCTGCTTCATTGACATTGATCAGACCATATACCAATTCAACTCATCGTTTTATTATGACAATATATCCTTATGTTTCCCACTTCATTCTTTCGTTCGTCTACTTAATCCTCCCTGAATTTTTAACCAACACTCTTTCCTTATTTTGCCAATGTATTCCATCAATCATGATTTCTGATCTGAAATTTTGCCCTCAAATTTTCTAAGGTATAGTTTCTCGCTTTTATATTTCGCTCATATTTTCAACTGCATCCATCTCTTCGTCACGTTGTGATAATGAGAACTCAGTGTCTGTTCTCTCCTCTTTCCAATTTGATAT